TGCGCGGCGGGGGGGCCGCCGTGCGCGGCCGACCGCGCGGCTTTTGAACCCGCGAGGGCGGCGGAGGAGGAGGGGGGAGGGAGGAGAGAGGAGGGGGGAGGAGGAGGAGGCGGAGGAGGAGTAGGAGGAGGAGGAGGAGGAGGAAGAGGAGGACGGAGGAGGGAGGAGGGACCAGCAATAAACCAGAGGGGGCGGGGGGGCGGGAGGAGGAGAGGGGGGGCGGAGGAGGGGGTGGGGCCAGCAATAGACCAGGCGGAGGGAGGAGGTGGGAGGGGGAGGGGGCGGAGGAGCGGGGAGGAGGAGGAGGAGGAGGAGGAGGAGGAGGAGAAACCAAGGGATGGGAGGAAGTTGCCAGAGGCCCAGAGGCCAACCCAGATCGCGAGCATGCGCGAGACGTCGCGCGCGAGAAATCGCGCGCGCCCCCGGAGGGGGTGGGCCCGACCCCCGACGCCTCGAAAAACTCACGACGGATGTTTCTAGCAGTTTTTTGTTTGTGGAGGCCCTCGCTGGGCCTCGAGATCGTGAAAAAACCGAGTCAGGATGAAAAACCGCCCCCTGGGGAAGGTGTCTGGACCTCCGGGGGCCGACGCAATGAGTTTCTCATGGCGTCGGGGGTCTGGGAAGGGGGGTGGGGAGGGAGGGAAGGGGGGGGGGGGCTGCGTGTGTGTGTGTGTGTGCGTGTGTGTGTGTGGTGTGTGCGTGTGTTTGTGTGTGTGTGTGGTGTGCGTGTGCGTGTGTGTGTGCGTGTGCGTGTGCGTGTGCGTGTGCGTGTGCGTGTGCGTGTGCGTGTGCGTGTTGCGTGTGCGTTGCGTGTGCGTGTGCGTGTGCGTGTGCGTGTGCGTGTGCGTGTGCGTTGCGTGTGCGTGTGCGTGCGTGCGTGTGTGTGTAAGTGTGTGTGTGTGTGCGTCCTCTCTCTCTCTCTCTCTCTCTCTCTCTCTACTCTCTCTCTCTCTCTCTCTCTCTCTCTCTCTCTAACTCTCTCTCTCTCTCTCTCTCTCTCTCTTTTTTTTTTTCTCTCTCTCTCTCTCTCTCTCGTGAAAGGTAATCGCCGGCTTATATGCACTATATGATTATATGTATATATATACGTGATACCATACGACATACGATTGTATAACCATGCGACACGCCAAAAGACAGTGATTCGAGCATCGCTGTCTTATGTCGGTAGCATCGGGCAAAGCCCGATGACGGAGTCTCCAGGTAGACTGCATACGAGTGAATGCCGCGGCTTCAGACAGCGACCCCTCGAAATCCCCCAGAAGCTGCGCCGGGAAAATCCTCCAGTCACCTAGAGAAAGTTCCCCACGGGGGCCAAGATAAAGCTGAACCTGATCATGAACAATAGACCGCTGCCCAAGATTCCCCAGGATCTTCCGAGGAGGTCGCTGCAGCTGTCCCACGAGAGACTGGACAGCTGGATGCTCATCAGGGTCGCCCGCCCCCAGACGAGCAATCAGAGCACGCAACTGCACGACGAAGAAATTGACCGACTGCTGCGCCGACGGCGGGGCGGCCCTGGAGTCAATGGCGAGCGGGTCGTACCGCTCGCGCCGAGGCCTGCGACCGCGCGCGCCTAAGACTGGGATGGAGGTCTGAGTTGAATTGGCCATCTCCACCTCCGACAATTTGGCCCATATCTCGTAGGCCGAGTCCAAACCATCGAAAGCCCCCCCAAGACTCCCAGACCCCGCGCGATCCAAAGTGATATCCAGAAGCTCCAGAGTGTGAGTCCAATCAGGCGGCTGGACGACGGGGCCCGCGGCGGGGTCGACGGGGGGCTTCGGAGGTTTGCGGAACCTGGGGGCCCGAAGGGTGCTGAGGGCCTTGTGGAATTCCAGACTGACAGGGATATGTGGGAACGTCGCAGCCTCCTCGATCAAAGCCACGCCTTTCACACATTTACTCAAGCCTCCAGACACCAGGAAATAATCATAGTGCTTGGTTCCACTGGGCACCGTAAGAGACCCACGATCCCCTGGGGCAGAGACGAGCGAACCGCGCAGAAGCTCGGGGGTCCCATTTTCCAAGAGGACCTCGAGAACCATGTTGAAGTCCCCCCCGATGACGAACGGCAACCCAGAGTGGCCCACGAACGACACCACGTCAGAGAGGACCGATATGTTGGCATCACTCAACTGCTCGCAATCATGCAAGTAAATGCTGGCGACTAAGAACTGTGGCTGGCTGAGCCTCTGCACGACGCCTGCCGCGCACCTGCGAGGAGAGACCTGCGAGGCGTCCAGGAAGGGGTGGAACCCGAACGCAGCTCGAACCGCTACCGCAACGCCTGCAGAAGCACCACTTTCGCCCCCAAAGCATCCAGGCTCCCACAAGATCTTCCAACCGTGTCTGAGACCCCAGGCACTGGCTTGATCGATTTCCTCAAAATTGCGAAGCTTATGCTCCTGGGTGGGAACTATATGTGCACTAGATTGCGGCAGCCGCTAACGAGCCGCCCCCCACCCCGAACCATTGAAAGTCTCCAGAATGAAACCAAACTCATTGCCAGGGAACCCGGAGGAGGAGGGGAGGACGACACTGGGCCGGTTGCGGCACAGTGAGCCTATGCCTTCAGAATGTGAAACTGCAGCTGGAACGGCGTGCGCATGGGCCTCCAGCGGCCTGGTGGGAGGACACAAAGCCCCCTCCCCCAAAGGCTGGCAACGAAGACGAAGCAAAACTCGGCGACCCAATCGACCACGAAGCCCCTCCAGACCCAGCCGAAGCGCGGGACAAGGATGGCCCAGAAGACGTGGCAGCCGTCGACGAGCAGGTACTGATAGGACATGTCCCGTGAGCGCCCCCGGGACACGAAGCCCCCGACTCCCCCGCAGGGGGGGGGGGCTGTCTCCGAAGAGGGCCCCACCGGGGTAAGGCTGGGGCGGAGCCCCCTCTCGTGCCGTAGTGCAGCGCGACGACCCCGAACTGCTAGGTCCGAAACCTGGTAGCGACAGCCTCCAGCATCTCCACCCTGCGCTTCTTGTCATCAGGCGACGCCGTGGAGCCGCCGAGAAGGTTTAACAGGTCGTCGTCGTTCTTGACCACAGGAGGTCCTGCAGATGAAGCTCTCGAAACCGCACGTGACTTGCTGGCGACCTCCTCCGACTTGGAAAGATGTTCCTTGCCAGACTGCAGAGCGTTGTGCATGGCCTGCACCTTGCCCTTGAGGTCCGAAAGGTTCTGACTCGCAACTGCCATTGCGGCTTCCTGCAGGAAGGTATCCATGGCTGTGACGGTATCCTTGAACTTAGAGATGTCGACTTCCGCCTCGGGCTCCAGCTGGGGGACCACCTTGGCAGACAAATCTCGATAACGCACACGGAGCTGCTCGATCTCCGTGTTGATCTGAACTGACTTGGTTTGTAACTCCTCTCCGCGCTTACGGTGATGCTCGATGCTCTCAGTGATCTGCTTGAGCTCCTCCCCTTGGACAGCAACTGCTTCTGGACCGCCGACGCCTGAACACCCGCGTTCTGTTTGTCCAGGGCGGCCTGCTTGACCGCTGTAGCCGACGCCGACAGTGCCTGGAGAATGGCATCAGACCCTGGGAGCCCCCCCACGCCTTTGAAGTGCTTGGCGAGCGCATCGAGGTACTCCTGGTGATTACTGTTGGGCGGGGGCGGCGGCATTTTGGCGGCGCCACCGTACCCCTTCTCAGCTCCCTTGCCACCTCCGTCGCCACCACGGCGACGTTTGCCCCCACCATCCAGCTGAGCGCCATCGCCACCAGAACGAGGACGGCCTTTGCTGAGAGCGGACGGGAGCGGCGAGAGGCATGCCTTGCACCACGAGAACCACGGCTTGTACTTACGGCAGCCACAGGCAGGGCAAGGCGCCGCCATGGCTGCGACTGCGGGGATGAAAACGGAATGTTGGTGACGCGTACTGCCGCCGCAACAGTACACGGACAATGGGGCGCGTATGCACACGCCAGAAAGCTGCGAACCTCAGGCTGGGCAGCCACCTGAGAAGGTCCGCGGGAAGCGTCGGTCGCCACCTTGCGTGTGGGGGGTTCCACAAATATTGCCTTGAACCAAAATTGCTACGGAGGGAGGAGGAGGAGGAGGAGAAGGAGGAGGAGGAGGAGGAGGAGGAGACAAGGAGGAGAGGAGGAGGAGGAGGAGGAGATGAGGAGGAGGAGAGGAGGAGGGGGAGGGGAGGAGGAGGAGGGAGGAGGAGTAGGAGGAGGAGGAGGGGGAGAGGAGGAGGAGGAGGAGGAGGAGGAGGAAGGAGGAGGAGGAGAGGAGGAGGGAGGAGGAGGAGGAGGAGTTGGAGGAGGAGGAGAAGATCTGGCTGCGAGCTGTTTTTGGGCTGACAGCGCGCGCCTCGCCTCGACGGTCTCCTTGGATCGGCTGGCGGGCCTCGCCGCGGCTCGTCCTTGCGGCATCTCTTCCCTCCTGGCTCCTCCTGGGTTCGCTTTCCTCCGTCCTGTCTCCTCTCTTCTCCCTCCTCCTGCCGCCGGCTCCTCTGCAGCCTCCTCCTCCTCCACCACCCCCTCCCTCCCTCCATCGCAGAGCGCGTCTCGTTGGATCGCTCGGCGCCCTCTTTGTGAGCGCACCTATTGCCCTTCGGCCTCGTTGGGCTGTCGGGCGCAGCAGGAGGAGGGGGAGGAGGAGGAGGAGGAGGAGGAGGAGGAGGAGGAGGAGGAGGAGGAAGAGGAGGAGGAGGAGGAGGAGGCGGACGAGGAGGATGAGGAGTTGGATGATGATGATGATGATGATGATGATGATGATGATGATGATGATGATGATGATGATGATGATGATGATGATGATGATGATGATGATGATGGTGATGATGATGACGAGGAAGAGGAGGAGGAGGAGGAGGAGGAGGAGGAGGAGGAGAAGGAGGCGGAGGAGTAGAAGGAGGAGGAGGAGGAGGAGGAGAAAGAGGAAGAGGAGGAGGAGGAGGAGGAGGAGAGGATGGAGGCCAGGGAAGACGGGATGGAAAGAGGGAGGGAGAGAGGGAGGACGGCGGGGAAGAAGGAATAGCGA